TAGTAGAGACGGGGTTTCACCATGTTGACCAGGATGGTCTCGATCTCTTGACCTTGTGATCCACCCGCCTCGGCCTCCCAAAGTGCTGGGATTACAGGCTTGAGCCACCGCGCCCGGCCAATTCACACATTTTGAAAGCAAATGTTAGGAAGGTCATGCTCAACTGGGCTATGCTTTCTATAATTGTAGCACGTAGGATTCTAGATTGGAATTGTCCAGGTGCTTGTCTGTCTCCCTCACAAGCTTGTAATTGTGAGAGCAGGCACTCTGTCTGTCCCATTCACCAGCGCAGTGCACAATGCCTGGTATATAGTAGGCATTTCATTAAATGTTGACTGAAAGAGCTGAATATTGTTTTTCCTCTTGCTGTCTCTTGGCGTTGGCATCAGGGCTAAAAAAGGAATTCTTTCAAGTGAGAGCAGGTTGGGTAGAGCTGATGGACTCTACCCAAGGATGACGGGGCAATTACCCCATGTCTGTGGTAACTCCCGCCTGCCCACCCCTCAGCCAGTCTCCCCTGCGCACACTCACCGTGGTGTGTCCATCCTCATCATACTGCCGCAGCTGCCCCAGAAACTCCAGGTGCTTCTTTTCCTCCTCCAGCTGAGCCACGGCCTGTTCACTGCGCTGTAGCCGCTGCTGGGTGCCAGCCAGCTCATCCCGCAGCCACTGGTTCTCCTGGCATAGCCGCCGCACCTGAGCCCGCAGCTTCTGTTTCTCCGACTCCACTGTGGTCAGATGGCTAGCTAGAGCCAGCATCACCTAGATGGGCACATACCCTGAGCTCCAGATTCTGGGTGGGAGTATTCAGGTACAGGTGGAAGAGGAGCTTACTGGAGGTGGCAAGACTGGCAGGGGCACAGAGGAGCCAGAAGGTGAGCATGTAGCAATGGCTCTACCTTCAAAACATACCCTGAATCCAATTTCCCACCACCTCTACTGCCATTACCCTAGGCCAAGCCACTATCAATTCCCACCCAAATTATAGTAGCTTCCTCACTGACCTCCTGGTTTCTGCCCTTGTTCCCCTGTTGTCTATTCGTAACTCAGCAGCCAGATGATGCCAAGTTAGACCACATCACTCCTCTTCTAAAAACATTCCAATAGTTTCCGTCTCACTCAAAGTAAAATCGGGGTTGGGTGCGGTAGCTCATGCCTATAATCCCAGCACTTTGGGTTGCAGAGGCAGGTGGATCACGAGGTCAGGAGTTCAAGACCAGCCGGGCCAACTTGGTGAAACCCCTGCATCTTTGTATTTGTAAAAATACAAAAAATTAGCCAGGCATGGTGATGCATGCCTGTAGTCCCAGTCTACTCAGGAAGCTGGGGCAGGAGAATTACTTGAACCCGGCAGGAGAATTGCTTGAACTCGGCAGGCAGAGGTTGCAGTGAGCTGAGATCATGCCACTCCAGCCTGGGCGACAGTGGGAGACTCCATTTCAAAAAAAAAGTAAAATCAAAGTCCACAGGATGGCCTACAAGTTCCACATGATCTATCTCCCTCCTCTCCCACCCTATTACTCCTCAGACTTAATTTTCTACTTTGCTTCTCCTCATCCACTCTACTGCAGGCATACTGGCCCCTTGCTATTCACTGACCTGACCAGGCAGACTTCCATTCAGGGCCTCTGTACTTGCTGCTGTCTCTGCTTAGGACACCCTTCCCCTGTTTATGGCATGACTCATTCCCTCACCTTCAAATCTTTGTCAAAATGTCACCTTTTCAGTAAGGCCTTTTTTGACCACCCTATCTAAAATTATACCCTGTCTCTATAGTCTCTAGTTTCCTTCCCCGCTTTATTTTTATCCTTTTATCCTTAGCAATTATCACTCTGGCACACCAAATGTATTTATATACTGTTTGTCTTCCCCAGCTAGAAGGTAAGCTCCAAGATGCCAAAGATTTTTACAGTTTTGTTCAATGATCTATCTCTTCAGTACCCAAAAGCAGTCTGGCACACAGTAGGGACTCAGTACGTATTTAATGAATGAATGCAAACATCTAGGGCGAGGTGATCCCAAGCAACCCCAAACCTCCAGTCAGATGACTGCTCCTCCATCCACCCTGGACCACTTGGGGCCACCCTTGCCCTCTCACCTGGGCCTCACTCAGCCCGAGCTCAATGTTTTCCATAGAACGGCGAAGCTGCCGGGCCTTCTCATGCACCAGCCCCTCCTCATGGTCTCCCTGCAGACACTCAATGGTCTGGGACAGGCTTTGCAGCACAGCCTGGTGTTCACTGTGTAGGGCCTCTAGCCCCTGGCTCACCAGCCGTGTGCTGCCCAGGATCTCCTCTTGGCTGAGCCGGTGCCCAGTAGGCTCATCTCGCTGCCCCAACACCAGGCCTGACATCCTGGCCAGGGGTCCTTGCCTGGCCTAGGAAGAAACAACAGAGTTCGGCTGGCGTAAAGATGAGACAGAGAAGCTGAGCAACTTTCTTAGAAGGTGGTAAGAATCCAAGTAAAGGGACAAAAGTAAGAGTGACCCTGTGGCTTAGTTGGAGAGAGAGAGTGACCAGCAGGGAGGGAGCCTAGATCACTAAACTCAAAGCTAAGGTTGTCGGCAAAGAGAGAGGGAGATGAATTGACTTAAATAAAGAAAGACTGTAGCAGGAACAAAGGTGCTTAGAACTAGCAGAAGGATTTAGGACTTAGGAAGACAACAGAAAAGCAGTCAGACAGAGAGCCTGGGTTAGGAAAAGGAATCAGGGGATGAGAGACAGCAGCCAGGGGATCACAGAGGGACTGTGGGAGAGCTGCAAAAGGAACATGGTTGAAGTGGGAGATATGCAGAAAACAATGCAGGAGTTTAGAAAAAAGGGAAGGAATCTCTGCAAAATTAAATCAGGGAAGAAAGGGAAAAGAAGAAAACAGGAAAATTCCCTGCAGGATCCACATTAGAGGGTCCAAGAAAACTCAAGGCCTTCAGGCTGCGTCACCTGCAGAACTGTCCAGCATCTCCAAACCTGGTCAGCCCTGCATCTTTTCCCGCTAACCTTCAACCCATACTTCCCACCCCCCAGGACTGAGACTGTGTTCCCACTTCCTCAGAAGGGTCTTGTTTCTAATCTTTGAAGTCATCTTACCTGTGTACAGACCACAGCCCCTGGCTGCGGGACTCAGGCCGGAGCCCGGAAAAAACTCTGTTCAGCGGCCAGAGTCAGAAAGATCTGCCCTGCCCAAAGTCCAGAAGTCCAGCGTTCCCACCCCTTCTCTCACCACTTCACAGCTACCCAGAGGACCTGGCACAGAGCCCCACCCAGGACAAATACCCTCCCTTCCTCCCTCCCTCCCTCTACCTACAGGTCTTCAAAGACGCCCAATTCCCTTCTCCTTCCCCATGCCAGCCTTCCTAACCGCAGGCCTGGGGAGCTACAGTCTCCCACGAAGAGAGTGAGAGAGACTTAATCAGAGACCTACAGCATGAGGCTTGTCTGGGAAAGGGGAGGGAGGAACACCTGGTCACTCCAAACCCAGTCACTTCCATGGCTTTGTCTCTGTCACGGTCACCTACAAACAGGCTCTGAGGGGAATCACCGTAGGCTGCCTCCCTAATGCCCGATGATGCAGGGAAGAATGGGAGGTCTGCTGAGCGGCTGCGGGGTCGCAGGGAACCGCGGCGCTAGAGTGGGTCTCCCGGACTTGGGAACGCAGAAGAGGAATGCCTCGGGCAGTCGACCTGACCTGGGGTGTTGAGAGAGTGAGATGGGCGGGGGCAGGAGGGGGGAGGTGTGGATGGACGACTGAGGTCCGCGGCTCCAGCGAGGACCAGGAGGCCGAACGACCCCGAGGTCACTGAGTCAGCCGGTGGCGCAGGGGGCGGGGCAGGCTGTCTGTCTGTCTGTCTGGACGCCGAGGGGCGGGGAAGAATCGCGAAGGGCGGAGTTTTTGAGTCCGGAGTTTTGTAAGGTTGGTTGAAGGGGTTTGCTCATCTTTCTGGGAGTGCGAGAATAAAAGATGGCAGAGACTTTAACCTTCAGCCCCAGAGGTACTGAAGACTCACCTGCAATCTACCGGTCTGGCTGCCGCTCTTGCCGGTACTGCCCCTTTAAATCCATGATGGCTGCCGCTCGAGGCAATTGTTTTGACGGGTCTAAGGGGAGGGACCCTTTTCCTAGTCACGCGACATTAGAGCTGCCCGCGGATTGGCTGTTATCGCGTTCAGCTAGAAAGGAGGTGTGTATCCAGCTTGGGCTTCAGTTTTCTGCCCGCCTCCTTTTACGTTATTGCGGAGCGACGTTGCCGGACAGTTAACGTCATCTAGGAGCGCCGAGCAGCTTCGCTGAAAGTAAGGGTGTCGTGCTGAGCCCTAGCTAACCGGATGGCCCTGTGGGCACTGACCCGCGCTCTGCGCTCTCTGAGCCTGTCGCCCCTGACCGTCGCCGCGCCTGTCCCAAGTCTGTTCCCCGCCGCCCAGGTAATCCACCTTACCCGGGAAGAAGGCTGGTTCCATTCGGGCTGCCGGAGATGGGGTTTGCGGGGATGCGAAACGTGGGGTGCGAGGCTGGTCAGGAGTCACGCAGGTCCGTGACTTTGGATAAGACACACTCTCAGCCTCATCTTTCTCCTCTACAGATGTTACTATCTTATAGGGCTAAATTCTTCAGACAAGATACTTAAGGTGAAAGTGCTTTGGAGATCACCGGTTGCACAGGTTTCAGTAATAACTAACATTTACCGAGTGCTTATGATAAGCCAGGTAATAGACGTTTCAAATAAATGAGCTCCTTTCAAACACTCTATAAGGCAGTTATTATTCCCATTTTATAAATGAGAAAATTGATAAGAAGTCCAAGGTCACACACCAACTATCAGAATTAACTGCCTGGCTTTCAGAACCTGTGCTCTTAACCATTATGATATGATACCTGCAAGGATGAGTTACTGCTGAGGTTAGAGAATGCAGAGCAAGATACCAAGAACAGTGGTCTTAGGGGAAGGTATCTTGAGGTCCTAGTAGGTGACTGGTGAGTCGCACAAAAGAGAAGTTGTAAGTCTTGCCCCTCTGGAGCTCTCAGGCTGATTATGGTAGAGTTTGGCAGATGCATATTTAAAATTCAAATCCAAACCAACCTACTCTGAAATACTGGGAATACAGCAAGGAACAAGAGCAAAATGATCCCCCCTCCCACCTTCACATGTGAAAAAGTCCCAGAAACATAATGCAGAGGGCAAAAGGAATTGACACTGATGGTGGTACATGGATGTGTGGATGTTACCAGCTCTGAAGAACAGGATTGTTTAGAGAAGAACAGATTCCTGGAGATAGAGAGTTGTGAGCCAGATTTGGAAGGAGATGACCAAGGGGAAAACATTACTGTGTGAGCTGTGATGGGTGATGTTTTTGGATGGCTGGTTTGGGACACATCCTGGAGGAAGTGGGCTACAAGCTAAAATTCATCTATGTACTCTGCCTTAGTTCTCTGATGCTTTGCCTTCAACTAGCTTTCAAATGAAAGATGTCTCTTTATCCCCAGATGACGGACAGTGCCCTCCTCCAACAGCCCTCTGTCTTGATGTTGCTCCCCTGCCGCCCAATCCTTACTTCTGTGGCCCTTAATGCCAACTTTGTGTCCTGGAAGAGTCGTACCAAGTACACCATTACACCAGTGAAGATGAGGAAGTCTGGGGGCCGAGACCACACAGGTGGGAACAAGTACAAGGGGATTTAAGCAGTCAAAGGGAAAAACATGTTAAGACCCAAGACCTGTATATTGACACACTTGTACTTTGTAAGGCTGAAGAACAAAGTTAAAAAGCACTTATTTGGCTCCTTTTACATGTAGTATGTGCACAGGAACCAGAAAGTAGAATACAAAGCAATAAATAAAACTGGTCTGTGCTTCTAAAGACAATTTGGGTAATTGAGAAAAAATGGGCCATACACAGGAAGTACCATGACATTTTCCTTCACACCCTTCAAAAATTTATAACAGGCCAGTAAGCACTTTGGGAGGCCGAAGTGGGTAGATCACCTGAGGTCACAAGTTTAAGACCAGGCTGGACAACATGGCGAAACTCCATCTCTACTAAAAATATAAAAATTGGCTGGGTGCAGTGGGTCACACCTGTAATCCTAGCACTCTGGGAGGCCAAAGTGGGCAGATCACTTGATGCCAGGAATTCAAGACCAGCCTGGCCAAAATGGCCAAACTCTGTTTCTACTAAAAATACA